TTAGATTTCACGGTCTGTTATAACCATTCCTTTTTAGCTTGTCGTATTTTACCTTGAAAGCCGTCACTCAACTACTTTGTACCTAAATAGCCAGATGAGGCTGGAGGCAAACACAACTATTAAGACTAATTTCACTTTACTACTCATCTCCATGAGTCCTCAGTGCTGCTTGCTGTGTTAGTAATTCACTCTCCCACTCTCCTTCAGCTTTGAAAAACTGTTCCTTTTCAGGTGATCCTGTTTATTATTTTACTAACGGAACAAAAGGAACAAAAAGAACTGTATACTTTTCTTTCAGCAAATCTAGAAACCTGAAAGAGCAATTTTAGTAGAATGGTTGAAACAGAAGCCAGCTTTTCAGGGATGAAAATATGAATCGGTCTCAAAGAGATGGACGTTGTGTTTTCCCGGATGTGTCCCTGGAACACTGTCTCTGTTAAATGAATCTTGCCCGATACCAGGATTAGTGATTTCATAATTTTGAGAAATAACCGGAAACCGTATGTAGTATATGTATGGAAAGAAAGTTTCCATTTGCTGGCCTAGATTTTACTAACGCACCAGTTTGCAAACTTTGACCAATTTCACAGTCCCCCAAAGGGTTTGCTGAAACACACATTGCTGGGCACCACCTCTTGAGGTTCTGATTTCGTAGATCTTGAGTGGGTCCTGAAAGTTTGCATTACAAGTTCTTAGGTCACCTTGTTGCTGCGGATCCAGGGACTTGGGAAATCCATTTTGAGAGCCGCTTGGCTTAGGTACAACTTAAGCTGACATGAGTGGCAGGTATGGCTAGGATCTTGAGCAATAATAGGAAATAGCTATTATGGGGTAACATAGTGAGAAGTAAGAACTAAAGATTTTTCCTGTCAGAGAGCAGGGACAGAACTGCAACAGTACAGAAGTTTGAGTGATACCCACTGGCTGCTGCTGTCAGATGCCTGTAAAGGCTACCGCCAAGCACTTCATCTTTGCTTCGCATTCCCATGATGAATGAGTGCCAAGACAGTAACTCAGGGATGTGTCTTCAGCCCATCTCCGTTTTGTTTGTATGTTTATTTGTTCACTGTTTGTTTTCAGTTAAAAAAAACTTACATATGGGTGGCTCAGTCGGTTGAGCGTCCGACTTGATTTTGGCTTGAGTCATGATCTTGTGATTTGTGAGTTCCGAGCCCCACTTCAGGCCCTGTGCTCACTGCACAGAGCCTGCTTGGGGTTCGTTCTCTCTCTCTCTCTCTCTCTCTCTCTCTCTCTCTCTCTCTCTCTCCTTTATCTGCCCCTGCTCTGTGCTTGCGTGCGCTCTCTTTCTCTCTCTCTCTCAAAATAAATGAACTTAAAAAAAAAAAAGTTGTATATGATAGTTCTTAGGAATTTTTAGCACGCAAAGACTAAATGTCATGAAGTGTCCTGAACTAATTGTGTCAGTTATGGTTAATAATTCTTTGGCTTTGGGCAAATAATTACCATGTCTCTTGTTTTCTCATTTGGGACTTTTTGAGAGAAAAGAACTAGAAACTTCCAATCCCCCCTTTATAAATGTAATTGCAAAGCCACAGAATCTTTCAAAATTAAATTTTCAGAGAATCATCAGTCAGGTTTCTAAGGAATGTGGTTCTTTTTAAGTTGCTAAATAGTCAGTGGGGAAACTGGCCCTGTACAGGGTTGACAGCATTTCTGGCAGTAAGTTGCATTACCATTTCTGGGTGTACTTCTTGGGCTTTGCCACTGTACTGCTTTGTGCCTTAGCCTAGGGCTCATGTGTGTCACCTATACTGCCTTAATGATGTTACAGTATCTGCACTGAGCCTGGAGTAGGAGGGAAAACAAGAAAACAAGAAAAATTGTTTTGAAGCATGATTGGGGTACGGAGAGAGGAAGAGGGCAAGTCCTTCTTCTGGTTCTTCTTTCTCTCTTTGCTATTTCAGTGAGCAGGTATGATTGAGAGGAATGCTGCTTTTTATTTATTCTCTGATTCCTCGAGTTTTGGGGGGCTTTTTGAAGCTGGATACTGTGTGCTTTTCACAGTGTCATAATTGGTTAATTTTTAAAATGATACAAGTTTGGAAGCTTGTGGACTGGTTTCTTATAGCTTTACTGAGGAATAATTAATTACAATAATTTGGATATATTCAGAGTGTACAATTTTGATGAGTTTTGACCTATGTGAAACCATCACTATAGTAATAAGACAGCATACATTTTCATTATCCCGAAGAATTTTTTTGTGACCGTTTGTAATGTTTGCACTAATCTGCTTTCTGTCACTATAGATAAAGTTGTACTTGTAAAAGTTAAATGGGGGGGGGGGGGTCATATAGTATGTACTTTGGAGGGGAATCTGACTTCTCCACATGTAGTTGCTTGTATCAATAGTTTATTCCTTTTCATTGCTGAAGAGTATCCTATTTGGATATTCTAAAATTGATCCATTCAACCTGTTGATGAACCCATTTGGGTTGTTTTCACTTTGGAGTTATTATCAGTAAAGCTGCTGTGAACATTGGTGTACAAATCTGAGTGTAGACAGGTTTTTTCTTTTTGTTGGGTAAATAACTTAGAAGGCATGGCTGGGTTATATGGTAGGTGTATATTTAACTTTTAAGTAACTGTAAACTGTCTTCCAGAGTGATTGTACCTTTTTAACCTTCTTGAGAGTTCCGGTTGTTCCAAACACATGATATGGTCTGTCTTTTTATTTTGGGCCTTTTAGTGGTATCTGTGGGTGCCTGTGTAGTAGGTCTCGGTGCTGATACCGGGCTGCTGTGTATATCTTTCATGAGGTGTCTGTTCATCTTCCCTGCCCACTCTTACTGGTTTTTTTATAGTTGAGTTTTAAGAATTTTTAAATGTATTTTGGATTCAAGTTCCTTTAAGTTCCTATCACGTTAGATCACAAAATCTTAACGCATTTTGCAAATAATTTTTATCAGTTGGCTTCCCTTTTCATTTTTTCTTTTTAAGTCTTTTGAAGAGCAATAGTTTTGGGTTTTTTTTTTTAAGATTTTTAAGTAATCTCTACACGTGACAC